GAAGGCTGGAGGAAGAGCATCGCTGTCGGGGGGGACAATGGCTTGAGGGAACCTGATTGGCTTCTGAAACCATCGTGAGACTGTTCCTTGTTTCTTCATATCTGTGTTTTCCTCCAGGACTTCACTCCTGAGAAGAAGCCAGTGGCCAGGGCTCCCCGGAGGATGCCAGCGGCGGGGAGGAAGAAGAAGGTAAAAGACCCCCCCTGGTCTGTGGTGCAATGGGAGGGAAGCTGGATTTTGGGTTGGCACTGCTGGAGGGGGGAGCAGGGGGTGGCAGGGCTCTGACATAGGCTCAGTGCTAGGAGGGACCTCCCTGGTGCTTCAGTGACGTGGTTGTGCCCAGCGCTGCTGTGTTTTGGGGGGTTTGTTGGACCCCACCCTGGTCCAACCCCACTCTGTGCCCACAGAAAGTGGAGTCCGGCTCCGACTCAGACTCCAAAGTGGACTCGGATTCGGAAATGGGAAACGCGACCGTGGACATGACCAAGTCAGACTCCAACTCGGATTCGGACTCGGATGTCTCTGTGAAGAAGGCTCCGCGGGGCAGGAAGCCAGGTAACGCCCAGGAAGCTTCTTCCACCATCACTGGGCTGCTGCTGGGTTCCTCAGGGGAGTAGAGAGTCCATGAGGTTGGGGGCTCCTGAGGTTCTGGGGTCCGCCTTCTGTTGTGGACACCTTCCACCCCACATCTGAACAGCCCTCTGCCCCCTAGAAGAAGCCAGTGGCCAGGGCTCCCCGGAGGATGCCAGCGGCGGGGAGGAAGAAGAAGGTAAAAGACTCCTGGTCTGTGGTGCAGTGGGAGGGAAGCTGGATTTTGGGTTGGCACTGCTGGAGGGGGGAGCAGGGGGTGGCAGGGCTCTGACATAGGCTCAGTGCTAGGAGGGACCTCCCTGGTGCTTCAGTGACGCGGTTGTGCCCAGAGCTGCTGTGTTTTGGGGGGTTTGTACAGAAAGTGGAGTCCGGCTCCGACTCAGACTCCAAAGTGGACTCGGATTCGGAAATGGGAAACGCGACCGTGGACATGACCAAGTCAGACTCCAACTCGGATTCGGACTCGGATGTCTCTGTGAAGAAGGCTCCGCGGGGCAGGAAGCCAGGTAACGCCCAGGAAGCTTCTTCCACCATCACTGGGCTGCTGCTGGGTTCCTCAGGGGAGTAGAGAGTCCATGAGGTTGGGGGCTCCTGAGGTTCTGGGGTCCGCCTTCTGTTGTGGACACCTTCCACCCCACATCTGAACAGCCCTCTGCCCCCCTAATTTGGGGCTGTTTTAACAGGGGGACAACCAGGGCTCCTGCTGAACATCTCCCTGTTGTCTTGCAGCTGAGAAACCCCCTCCCAAGCCCCGTGGCAGGAAACCGAAGCCCGAGCGTGTCCCGACCAGCTCCAGCAGTGACAGGTGAGGTCAGAAGGGACACTGTCACCCTGGGGGCTGGGCTGGAGGGTCACCAAGGGGTCCGAGCATGGTCTGCCCTTTGCAGTGACAGCGACAGCGACGTGGATCGCATCAGCGAGTGGAAGAGGCGAGATGAAGAACGACGGCGGGAGCTGGAGGAGAAGAGGAAGAGGGAGCAGGAGGAAGAGATCCGTCGGCTCCGGGAGCAGGAGAAGGAGGAGAAAGAGAAGAGGAAGGAGAAAGCAGAGAAGGGTGAGGAGGTGCACTCGGACTCGGACAGCAGCGCGGAGGATGAAGTGGCCAAAAAAGGACGGAAAGGCCGAGCCAAGGCCCCGTCCTCCTCAGACTCTGAACTGGAGCTGGAGAAAGAGGTGAGTACAGAGCCCTGGGGAGCTGGGGACGAACAGCCAGTCTGTCATCTCCCTGTCAGGACAGCAGGGACCTCCAGGAGTGGCAGGGACCTGTTGTCTTGGTCTTGCATTGTCCTGGTGTGGCCCAAGCAGCACTGGGAAGGGTCATGTCTGTATCACAGAATCATAGAACGGTTTGGGATGGAAGGGATCTTAAAGATCATCGAGTCCCAACCCCCTGCCCTGGGCAGGGACACCTCCCACCAGACCAGGTTGCTCCAAGCCCCATCCAACCTGCCCTTGAACCCCTCCAGGGACGGGGCAGCCACGACTTCACTGGGCAACCTGTTCCAGTGTCTCACCACCCTCACTGTAAAGAATTTCTTTCTGGTATCTCATCTAAATCTCCCCTCTTCCAAATTAAAACCATTCCCCCTTGTCCTGTCACTGCACTTCCTGACAAAGAGTCCCTCCCCAGCTCTCCTGTAGCCCCTTCAGATATTGAAAGATCACTATAAGGTCTCCCCGGAGCCTTCTCTTCTCCAGGCTGACCAACCCCAGCTCTCTCAGCCTGTCCTCGTAGAAGAGGTGCTCCAGCCCTCTGAGCATCAATGTCATGCCCATGCCTTGTGAGTGGGAGCCCAGCAGTGGGTCTCACACCTCCGTGATGCTCTCCCTCCCACTGCAGCCATCGGATTCTTTCCACTGCCCTTCCCACACCCTGGGGGAGCAGAGGGCTTTTAGGAGCCACGCTGCCCGTGGTTGGAGTCGAGGTCATAGAATCATAGAATCGTCCAAGTTGGAAGAGACCCTTGGGATCATCAAGTCCAACCATCTCCCCTACTCTACAAAGTCCTCCCCTACACCATGTCCCTCAGCACTGCATCTAAACGGCCCTTAAACACAGCCAGGGATGGGGACTCCACCCCCTCCCTGGGCAGCCTGTTCCAATGCCCGACCACTCTTTGGGTGAAAAATTCCTTCCTAATGTTCAATCTAAACCCACCCTGTTGGAGGGTCCCCCTTTCAGCCTGTGGAGGGGGGGCCAGGAAAGCAGCACCAAGATCTTGAGGTCTGGAAGGAGGGGTTGGATCTGCCAGTGGGGCACTGCAGGCTGGGTGGGCCTCTTGTACCAGGATATTTACTTCTGGAGCAGCACATCCTTGTGCTTCAACCCGAGTCCTTTTTTGATCCTGTGAGGGGGAAAATGCCCCTGCCCCCAAACTGACCCATTGCACCTCCGTGGGGGTGTGATGGGGGCTGGATGGTGCCCATCCCTGGCACCATCTCCCCCCTGCAGCGGGGAGGGCTCTGCCCACATTGTTCTTCCCTCCAAGGTAAAGAAGCCGGCGAAGAAGCAGCCCTCGGAGTTGTCAAGGAAACCAAATCAGAAGGAGAAGAGGGGCCGAGCAGAGGAGAAACCACGGAACAAGTCAGCATCTCCCCTCCCTGCATCAGCTCTTTCTTCTCTGGGGACAGGGCTGTTCCTTTGCTGTTGTCCAACCCGTGGAGCTGCCCCATGGCCAACAGTGCCCGTGGAGGGGCTGGGTTCTTACCTCCCCTCCTCTCCCCTAGAGCTGGAGGGGGTTTTGAGGGGCACCAGGCTGAGCTTCCCTCGTGTTAAGCACCTCACAGGGGAAAATCCTTGAGGCTTTGCCTTTCTGCAGTCCCAGGAAGCTGGGGCATGGGGGAGCTGCTGTCTCAGGGCTCCTGGAGATGTGGTTGAAAGCGTGGGTGGAGTGTGATGGGGCTCTGCTGCCTGGCTCCCACCTTTGGGCAGGCCAGGGGGATGCACTGGTGTGTTCCATCACCCTCCTTAGCCCAGCAGTGAGCAGGGGGTTTCACCCAAACCACCTCCCCTCTTCCTTTTCCTCCCACAGGCCTTTGAAAGTGGAACGAGGCCGAAAGAAATCGGACATGATCCCCGAGAGGAGGATGGAGAAGAAAAAGGGTGAGAGAGCCATTGCTTGCTGGCCCAGAGGGGAGGAGAGGGAGAGAAGAGACTCCTCTATCCCAAGGAAAGGGAGGGATCTTTCCCCGAGGGCCCCTCTCAGCGCTGCTGTGGTCCCAGCTGGGTCCCATGTGGAAAGTATTTGCAGGGTGTGCAGACACAGAGAGCTTCCCTGTACACATCCCCTCCCAATCTTGGCACATCCCAACCCATCCTCTTCAGAGAGGCCCCTGGGGCTGTGTTTGACCTTGGAGATGCAGGAGGAGACTGAACCCTCGCTGGGGGAGAGGTCCTGGGGCCCTGCCTGATGCCTCAACCTGTCTTTTTTTGCTGCTCCAGAGCCCACAGTCGAAGAGAAACTTCAGAAACTTCACAGTGAGATCAAGTTTGCCCTGAAGGTGGATAATCCGGTGAGTGCCCGAGGGGTTGGCCTGGCCTGGGAGGTCCCTGCTTGTTGGCCACCACGTGAGCCTTGCCCAGCTGTGACACCTGGGGCTGCTCCTCTTCCTCTTCTGGGTGCTGGGTGGCATTAGGGGACTGTGCTCCACGTAGCGCTGCCCCAGGTGCCCACAGGGAGACTTCCAGGCACCTTCTGATCTTGGTGCCATCCTTGCAGGACATCAAGAGGTGTCTGAATGCGCTGGAGGAGCTGGGCACGCTCCAGGTCACCTCTCACATCCTCCAGAAGCACACTGATGTGGTGGCCACGCTGAAAAAGGTAGGGCAGAAGGTTGAGTCCCTGCCTGGAGGGAGCCAAGGAGCCTCCTTGGGCCACCCCAGCTCTAAGGGCGTCCCCTCCCTCCCTCTCTCTGGTCCAGATCCGTCGTTACAAAGCCAACAAGGACGTGATGGAGAAAGCTGCTGAAGTCTACACCCGGTTGAAGTCGCGTGTCCTGGGACCAAAGATGGAGGCAATCCAGAAAGCCAACAAAGCCGGGCCCGAGAAGGACAAGGGGGAGGTGGAGAAGGGCCAGGAGAAGCTGTCGGGAGGGGAGACGCGGAACGAGAAGGGGGAAGAGGAGACAAATGCTGGTAACACTCCCTGCACCTCTCAGGGCTGTTCCCTCCTTCGTACAAGCACGTAGCCATCCCAGGGCCCTTCCTGGGGCACAGCACATCCCACTGGGGACCGGGGACACGAGCAGGGGTGGCTTTTGGTCACGGTGGTGGAGGTGGCACCTCCGGCCCCTCGTTTGCTGGAGTGCCAGGAGTGGGAAGGGAGTGACTCTGGAGCGCTCGCGGCAGTGAGAGCAGAGGGCAAACCTCCACGCCCACGCCCTGCCTTTGGGTGCCTCTGGGCTGGTTTTTGGCCCAGGATGGCTCCTCGTTGCCAGCCCAAACACTGGTCCAAGGCACCAGGGAGCCAGAGGAATGCGGAGACGCCCTTGGACACCAACTCGGGCTCTTGCGCAGGCAGCTGGTGACTGGGATCTTCCACCATCGTGGCCCAGTCCCTGCCTGGGGACCTCCTGGTGATGCTGCAAGAGCCTTCCCGGAGGAGCCGATGGGGAAAATCCACTCTGAGGCCTCTGGGATGGGGGGGATGGAGTCTTTGGGGCCCTTCTTGTAGCTATCTGGGGTCCTCTCGGTCAACAGGGTGTCCCTTCTTACCTGGATGGGGACAACCTGTGGTCCTCAGCTTGTCCAGCCCCTCGTGGGTGGGGATGGACGTGGGGATTTGGGTGCCTGAGCCTCTCTCTTCCCTTTAGACTTATCAGGTCCTGTGAATGGAGAATCCCTGTCCCAAAAAGCAGAGGGCACAGAGGAGGAGGACAAAAGCCAAGGAGCCGGAGAGCCGGAGGGACCCACCGAGGAGACCCATAACAAGTGAGTCTCAATTTTTTTTCATTTTTTGCCAGGAAGAAGGATAATAAATCCTTCTGGGCCCACAAGAGAGGTGGAGGCAGAGCACTATGTAGCTTGTGGAGGGGGTGGTTGAACATTTTGAGACAGTGGGACGTGGTAGGTCTTTGTGGATGATGAACTTGCTCTCTGATGTGCCTTGATTTGCTTTCATCTATGGGTGATAATACCTTCTCTTTGCACCACACCTGAGTTTTGGGGAAGTTCGGGCTCCAAATCTCTGTTTTGTCCTTGTGGATGATCGTGCTCGTTTCATGTCATCCCACCGCTCAGAACAGAGCAGCTACTGGAAGGGGGAGGATCCAAATGGGAGCTGTTTAGATGTGGTGTTGGGGGATAGGGTGTAGGGGAGAACTTTGTAGAGTAGGGGAGATGGTTGGACTCGATGATCCCAAGGGTCTCTTCCAACCCAGACCATTCTATAAGTGAGCACACGAGGGGTTGAGCCCCTGGGATCTGATCCACATCCAAACTGGGCTCTCACATGGATGGTTTGGGGGGGTCTCATGGGTTCTGTCGGGCTTTTCCAAGGTTGGGAAGGAGCCAGGGGGGCTGGGGGAGGCAAAGGGA